CCTCCAATTCCAATTCATCTCTGTTATCTGCTGTGATTTCAACAGCTGGGCTGGAGGAAGGAAAATCAGTAGGTTGGATATTCTGACCAATTCCTTCCCAAGTACTCAGAAATGTATTCATATGCATCTTTAACTAAAATTTTGAAACTAGTAAGCTCTAGTTGTTGTTCAGTCACATTTGATTCTTCTTGACATCATTTGTGGTTTTCTTAGCAAAGATATGAGAGTAGTTTGCCATTTCTTCCTCCAGTTCATTTTATAGATGAGGACACTAAGGCAAATAGGGTTAAGTGACTTGCCCAGGGTCACATAACTTTTAAGTATCTGAAGCCACATTTGAATTCAAGTCTTCTTGACTCCAGTCCCAGAAGTGTATCCACTTCTCCACCTAGCTGCCCTGAGTAGTTCAGGAAGGGTCTCTAAAAGATGACCTTTGAAGGGCATTTCTCATGATATGGTAGAACAAGAGAAATTCCCCATTTCAGCACTTGAAGTTTCAGAAACATCTGTGACATTGTGCTTCCTAAAATACAGAACTATAATAAAGTGGCTTAGAATCAAAGAATCTAGAGTAGAAGATTTAAAGTAACATAGCTGAAAGTCCACTTTGGGTCATCAGCTATAAATAATTATGATATTCTTTCAAATATACTAATAACCTGACTCATCAGGAAGTCAAAGCTAAAACAGAATTGATTTGGAATGCTCCCTTATCAGAAAGGTTCTAATCAGACACATTAGAATTAGGTCTACTGAACTCAATGTTAGATGGATAAAGCCTGATGGAAGCAAGGAAATTTACTTTTTGAATCTATTTATAAAATTATTACATTCTAAACTTAATTTGCTAAAAAGATAATGAATGAAATGACAAAATAGATTTTAAAAAGAAAACAATATTTTGTATTTTATAAAGCAATTCACACATATATCTCTTTTGATTCTCACTACTACTTTGGGGAGTGGGTAGAAGAAGTATTATCTCCAATATACAAATCAAGAAGCTTTGCTTAGTTAGGGTTACAGGGCTAGTAAGTAGCAGAACTGGAACTTGAACCCAGGTCCACTAAAAATAATTTCATAAATTAATTTAAAAAAACCCAATTTCACTGCTTTTCACAGTGTGCCATGCTGGTTCTATATAAATTTTTATACACACACATCACACGCACACACTTATTTTATATCCTATATGATATAAAATAGCAACTTTTAGTTAAGTACTAAAATGGCTTCTTAGAGCAAACAGTAGAGAATAAGTAGAAGGAAGTTCAGGGCATTCCTTATCCCTCAGTACAGCCACCCTTCTTCCTTCCACAAAATTAAACAGTTCTCTTCTCTTGCTTTGAAATAACTTTATGGCAGAAAAAAGAAATGTCAAACAAAAGCAAGCAATGTTGCCAGTGTAGTGCTCTCTCTCTCTCTCTCTCTCCCTCTTTCTCTCTCTCTCTTTCACTCTTGCTCTCTTCTTTCCCTTCAATTAATCAATCATGAACATAATCCCGCTATATCCATATGCCTCAGAAAATTTAGGCTTGGTGTTCAAAGAGGCCAAAAACCAACAGGGAAAAAATCCTAAAATAGTGATGAAATAATAAGAGATAAGTAATCACTTATTAGGATGGGAAATGTGTAATGCTGACTAAAGGCAGGAGGCAATGCCTCACCATGGAGCAGAAGTAACCCACAGCACCAGGGCAAAAGTTCTGGTAGGTTCTACAAAGCTATAAATGTTTTGAGTACAGGTTAACAAAGGACTGTTTTCTCAAAGGACCAGCCTCAGTTTAGAGGAGTTGAGCACTACAATGTCAGTAGGTGATGATTGTTTTTAGGCACATTAGTTCATGAAGGTAGTCCTACTAAAGTATACAGGACTTGGGATCTATGTCCATGGAAAGAACATTAACAGTGATGAAATCATGAACCCCTTTCACATACTGAAATACTTTAAGATACCGACTTAGTGAGCTCCTCTAAAGATTTCTTATTCTACTCAAAGCCCAAAGTTCCATTAAACTTTTGATATTGTGCACACAAATTATGGAGCCTTAACAGATATGGAAAGTATATTTTTAAACACTTAAAAAGTATATCATAATTACAACTCACTTTAAGAAAATTTGTCATTGAAAAGCTGTAGCTTATAAAATAGATACTTAAAGTATTCAATACAAAAATCTAAGTTTCCCTCAAATACTTTAAAAAATTCAATTTACAAATATTTGATTTACAATGAACCTTTCTGGGATGTATAGGTTGTGCTAAGTAAGGTTTACCTGTACTGTTATTTAAGCTATAACTATGTGTGCACAAGTAATTGACATGTTAAACTGTTCTTTGCTATGAACTATTTACCTGATGAAACTTATAAATAAGTTTCAATGAGAGGAGTTTCTTGGAATCTAATAATTAAAATGTGCTTTACTTTGTTTTGAGAATCATTAACACTAATATAATAGCCTTACTCTTAAAAGTTAATAGGTAATGGAGTCACTGAAAGCTTCAGGCAATGAGAAGCAAAGTGTTATGAGTGGGAGTAGTTTCCTTAGTTAGAAAGGAATCTTGAATCAGAACTATTTGAGTCAGCTTGAATTATTAGCAAGACATTATGAATACATTCCTTTAGAAAGGAGACAGCTTTTTTTCTCCTTTCAGCAAACTGCACAAGGGAAAAAAAAAACATCTTTAGCAATGTTACATAAACCTTCAATGAAGGTAAATAGATTTCTATCAGGTGCAACATTTAATACTTTCAAATCCTATGACTAGGTATATAGTCATAATGTTAATTACATGACTAACCGTCCAATAAAGAGGGCAAAAATACTCACAAGATTAAATAACCAACTTTAGACATTTTCTCTCAGCAACTCAAAATAATCCAAGCAGAAGCATTTCATGGTTTCCTTGGCAACTCAAGGGATTTAAGACTACATGAAGTACATGAAGTCAAAATCACTTGTTTGATTCTAAAAAAACCTTCGACTGCTAAACAACCAAGGTAAAAATATGAAAACCCACTAGCTTGAAACATGTCCTATTTAGTAATAATAAGATCATCTAATATATTATAAACACCCTTAGATGAAAGCTCTGGTTTAGGTATCTCAATTCAACACTGAGTGACCTGATGGAATAATATCAGGGTGTGCTCTAGTTCTACACATAACACAAAAGATACCATCACGTTAATAACTGCTTAATCACCTCCAGGAACACCCATGGCCATTTTAGTACTCCACCACAGAAAATCTTTTTCCAAGGACTTCTATTGTTTTACTGTTACTTCTTGGTATGAATTCAAGCTTAATGAAAGGTTATACAGAGAACTATATGATAATTAAAAATCGCTTGTTATTTTAATGCTTCAAACAACTCTCCCTTTTGACAGTCAATACAGAAAAATATGACTTCCATCATCTTGCTATCTTAATTCTTCAAATTTTGAAAGAAAATTTCAAAGCAAATTTAATTCTTCTTTTGAAACAAATATGCTGATTGAGAACTAAAGGGAAAGGGTCTTTGTATAAAAATTCTCAGTTGTTTGTATCTTTAGGTACTCCACTCAAGACTAGAAGAAATAAGATTGTAAATGAATATGTCATAATGAGTTTCCTGCCCTGGTCATTTAACAAATAAATTGCTTAAGGTAAATTTGGAATCAAACACTAAAGATATAAAGTCAAAAGTCATGCCGAACAGAATTTGAATTACTTGGAAAATATCAGACATTTATCCAGTGAAAAAAAGTAACACTAATGTCTCATTCATGTTACTCACCTAAGCTTGGAATATTTGACATTTTAATTCTAAGAAGAAAATATTACCAATTAATGTGACATTTTTACTGAACACTGACTTTACACCAAAAAAGCAATAGGTATATGCAGAATGAAGAATGAGAAATGTTGGCAGGCATCAGAGGAACAAGGTAAGCAACTGATTTCTGCCTATATTTCTTTCCTATTTAATGTTCCTTTTTCTCACTTAGAAGTATGTCACTTTTTAAAAATTAAGTTAATGAGCTTAGTACTAATGAAAGGTGCTTACAGGACAAGCAATGAAAACCTCCTCCTAAACTAAATATAACTAATTCAAATTGAGAATCCATGAAAGTCCTTCTAAATTGTTTCACTAATTTTCCTTATACATACATACATACATACATATATATATATATATATATATGTATACATATAACTGTTGCAACATGTCCAGGTTCATGGGCTTGTATCATCCTTTGGTATGGACAAGAGTTACATAACAGGGGCAGCTAGGTGGCGCAGTGGATAGAGCACCAGCCCTGAAGTCAGGAGGACCTGAGTTCAAATGCGGCCTCAGACCAAACACTTGAGACATGCTAGCTGTGTGACTCTGGGCAAGTCACTAAACCCCAATTGCCTAAAAATAAAATAAATAATAAAATAAATAATAAAAAATAGTTACATAACAGCAGACTGATTGTGTCTAGTAGAGTCAATTTTCAATTAAATGTACTAATGGAGAAAATCTATCAATTTGATGATTCAAAAGACTGAAAAACACCAAAGTTATTTACATTGGACTCTAAAATAGACTAAATTATTTTCTTTGGCAGAAATGCCTTTATGTTTACATTTATGTTAAATTAATATTAAAAATATAACTTTACAATCTCTGTGCATACCCATTTACCACGAGGAGAGGTGTCCATCAAATGTTTTGGGGGCTAGGAATAAATCAATTTGAGATTTAAAGATATGCAACATAATCCACTAAATGGATAATTGTGAATTATACGATATGACAATGCACACTGAAGGACATCATATCATTATTGACATCTTAGGAAATGAAATTTTTCATAATCTGTTTTTAATGCCCCTAAGTACACAAACATCTTGACTTATTCTACTTACTCAAATATTCCTTTACTCCAATAAGAAAGAAGTAATCTAACATAAAGTACCAAGCATTTTTTTATTCTTGTAATTAAATATATGTAAAAATGAAAAGCTTACTTGGGTCACGATTGTTATATGGCCATCCTGAAGCAGATAAAAAAGATGGCACTGGAGAACTTGCCCGGCTGTCATCCTCTACCTGCTGGGTAATATGACGTACAGTTTCTTTGTTTTTTCGATTCTTCCTACGGCCTGTGGGCTGCCAACCATCCCCTATGCTTTGTTCTGAGAAAGTGTTCTGTACTGAACTATCCTTGACAGTACGCAATTCATTTCCACCATAATGTGATGGTGAAATTTGTTCTTCTTTAATACGTAAAGACCCATATCCTATGTCACTAGTCCACAAAGATTGTGATGAAATGTCATCATGGCTATCTGTTTTTGGTTCCTGATCCTCTTTCCCATAGCTGCTTCCTCCTTCATGACAACTGGCAATGGCTGAATCTCCAGAGGAATTTGCTGGACTTGTTCGTCGAGCTAACCATGGAGAAATACTCCTACCAGCTACTACCGCTGAAATCAATGCATCAGTACTACTGCTGGAAGGAGCCCCAATTTCATAGTCTGCAAGTTCATCAGATGCATCAGACTTTATACTTATATCAAGAGCTGCTTTTATAAAATTATGACAGGCTTGCACAATATCCGTCATCTGAAGATAACTAGCAGCTGACATCACTTCAATAACATTCCTGCTGGTTAAAGCAAGGTGAGCAGAGTACATGAAGTCAATGATGGCTTTAAAGCCCTGTGCAGTGACAATGTCTAAATGAGTAACTGTAGCCTGATCAGAAGTCTTCTGTACCTGGCAGTATAGCGTTTTGAAGTAGCGGCTGCTCCCAAGCAAAACATTTTTGTGAGCTTTAAAAATCTTCCCCTCTACTATAATGCAAACATCACAAAGGATTCCATGCTGTCTCTGCTCATTGAGTTCACGAAGAAGATGACGGTAATGAGAGGCAATCTCCATATCTTCCTTTCTGTTATTCATTTGGAAATCTGTTTTTTCTTCTATAAGACCTGTAAAGGTAAAAATGAAACCATTACTAGTAGGTATCCTACAAGCACAAATTCTGAAGCAGCACTGATGGAACACAGTCAAAGGCAATTTCGGAAAAGTTAAAACTTTCACTGGATTAACCTGCTACCACAAACAAAAATTATTGCCTAGATTAGACTGCAAATTCCTAATGTGACACATATGCTGGGTATTATTTTGATCAAGTCATATTATTGGGAAACGCAGGCTCACAAAGGTATGTAACCTTAAATTAGATCACAGGGTTGTAGAATTTAGAGCCAGAAGAAAACTTGGAGCTCAGCTAGCCTAACTCCTTAATTTTACAGATGAGGCAAATAAAGGATAAAGTGATTTGTCCAAGTCAGTCAGTCAGTGAGTCAACAAGCACTTGTCTAGTACTATTATGGGCAAAGCAGTGTGCTAAACACTGGGGATAAAAAGGAAGGCAAAAACACTGATGCTGCCCTAAAGGAGCCCATTGTTGAAAGAGACAACACATAAAAATAACTCAGTACACACAGTGCATATATACAGCATAAATGGAAGGTAATCTCAGAGGAAAGGCATTAGCAGCAAGGGGGACCAGGAAAGACCTCCTTCTACGGGGAAAGTCGGGTGGGATTTGAACTGAGTCTTGAAAACAGCCAGGAAAGTGATAAGAGGTAGACTTGAAGTACAAGGCTTAAAACTGCAACAGCAAACATATAGTTTTGAATGGAATCCTATATACACAGACATCTAACTCCCAGAATCAAAAGCTCCACCTCCCTCAAAGTAAAAGGAAACTATAGTTAAAGTAAGTAGCTTTCTTGCTAAAATGAAACTATCATGTATCATTACACAGGCAAAATTCCAATCATTATGCTTGGTTGTCGTTCAGTCATTTTTCAGTCACACCCAACTCTCCATGACCCCATTTGGGGTTTTCTTGGCAAAGATATGGGAGTGCTTTGCTATTTCCTTCTGCAGCTCATTTTACAAATGAAGGAACAGGCAAATAGGGTTAAGTGACTTGCCCGGGGTCACACAGCTAATAAGTGTCTGAGGTCACATTTGAACTCAGGAAGATGAGTCTGCCTGATTCCAGGCCTGGCACTGTACCACCTAGCTGCCCTTATACAAGTATAAAAAAAAAGTTTTAAAAATATAAATGCAATTCAATTTTTAAAATTTAACAAGTATTTATTAAACATCTGTTGTGTTTAGAGCATTATGCTTGACACCAAGGAGATATATAAAGTTAAACATAATCCCAACCCTCATGGAATTTACTGTCTAGTAAGAAGAGATAATATATACAAAAATAACTATAATTCAAAACAATACTTAAGTGTATAAGGAAGTACTATGTGAGTTTCAAGGCATATCCACATATTAGTAAGTCAAGGGTAATTGGAAGAGCTTGCTTAGGAAAACAGACAAAGTTAGAAGGGATATTAGAGGACATCTAGTTTAACTTCTTTATATTAAATGTGGGGGAAATGAGATTCACAGAGGCTAAATGACTTGACAAGTCAACAGGTAGTAAGTAGTAAAGTCAGAGGTTGAACCTAGATCCTGACTCCAAACCAGCACTCCATTATACCACCTCTTCATGCTGATCACATAGGAGGTGTCACCTGAATGGGCTTCAAAAACCAAGCAGGAATTTAATAGGCAAAAAACATACACAAAAGTAAAGAAAGAGTTGGAATAGTGTAGAGTATCTTCTGGAGAATATAATACTCTGCTATGATTGAACCATAGACTAAACAGAAGGCTATGATATAAAGGATAAAGTGGAAAGAGAAAAACTTAAGATGAATCATTAGAACGTGAGCTATTGGAATACAATGCCTAGCATATAGTGGGCCCTTCATAAATTTGCCTTATCAAGCAAGTGAGATACTTGCTTCTCTGAAACAGGAAGGTAGAAAGAGAATGGAGAGGATGGTTCTGAGGAAAAATAAGTTTTTACCTTTTAAAAAATACACATATAAAGAATAATTTTAATTTAAAAAATGCTCTGGACTTAATTGAATACTTCACCAACAAAAGCAGCACGAGGTAATACTTTACTACGATTACTGTTGTGGAAAACACAACCTTTACCTTATGTTGGTCCTCCCTGGATGTTTCTAACTAGACTTTGATCCTTTCATTTCTTACCTTTATTATCATACTGGCTGCATAAAGTCTTACTTCTTTTTAGCATCTCAATTCCCTGGTTTTCACATTTTGAACTCAGTATTTTTTTTTAAACAAAGGAATGTCTCAGTGCCAGGACATCATAAACAGGATGCCATATCAAACAGAATAGATATCAACTAGACTCAGTTACCTCCTAAATGTCCTATTCTGTACTTTTTAAATTTTTTGGAGGCTTGAAGAACCCATAGGCCTTTCTGAATTAATTCAAATTAAAATTTTCATTGCTAAGTATTACTTAGATTATTCTTAATTTAAATTTTAAAATGTACAAGGAACAATACATTATTCAAGTTTTGGGAGAATTGATGAATTTTTCCAATGACCTCAAGATATGAAAGATCATCTCATTAGTTTTCATAATTTTCCTGAGCAAACAAAAAATAAAACAAAAACAACAACTAGGTGTTATCTCTAATTAACTGAGTAGAGAAACTGAGGCAAAGAATATAGTTGGCCTCAAATTCCCCATTTGAATTATTCATGTGCCCAAAAAGGAATGGTGTATAACCTATTTTTAGATGAGGCTTCCAATGATAGAACTTGCTTAGGCTCACAGAGATCCAAATTTGAGTTAGATACCTGGAGTGGTTAAGATCATATGACATTTGTCAAAAAAAAAAACTTGCAGCTATAGCATTTTGTTTTGCACTATGCACGTTAGTTAATAATTAGACTGATTGATATATGCTTCAAATTAGGACAAAGTAAAAATCAAAGGCAGAAGTTATTTATAGGAACAATGTTCATTTGTAATCCAAAATACTGAAGTAAAAACTTTGATATTTTCCAAAATCCTCAAAATGAATACAGGACATTTTTCATTCACGTTTCTACCTCTTGTCTCTATGACAACACAGGATTTCTCCTATGCTTGGGACACACTCTTCGTCATTGCCTCTTTGAATGTCTTGTTGTTCAGTCATTTAGTCCTGTCCGACTTTTCGTGACCCCATGTGGGGTTTTCTTGGCAAAGATACTGGCGTGGTTTGTCATTTCCTTCTCCAGTGGATTAGGCAAACAGAGGTTAAGTGACTTACCCAGGGTTACAATGCTAGTGAGTGTCTGAGGCTGAATTTGAAGTCAGGTCTTCCTGACTCCAGGCCCAGCACTCTATCCACTGAGACACCTCCCTGCTCCAAGGCAAACAGATTAAATGACTTGCCCAGGGTCACACAGCTAGCGTCTGAGGCCACATATGAACTCAGGTCTTCCTGACTCCAAGCCCAGCACTCTATCTACTGAGCCATCTAGCTGGTTATCTCTAGCTTCCCTCAAAGCTTAGCTAAGGTGTAACTGCCTACAAAAAGGACTTTCCAGGGGCAGCTAGGTGTTGCAGTACCCTAAAGTCAGGAGACCCTGAGTTCAAATCTGGCCTCAGACCAAACACCTGACATTTACTAGCTGCCAAAAAAAAAAAGGACTTTCCTAGCTGCTATTCCCCTCTTTTCTCACCAGAAATTACTTTGCATTTACTTTGCATACATTTTAATTTCTTTATATGTATATTTGTTTCCCCTCTATAAGTTCCTTTTGGGTAAGGAATATTTCATTTTTGTCTTTGTATCACCTATATGAAGCATAGTGCCTACGATATAGTAGGAATTTACTCTATGATTTCTGACAGTCAGGCAATAAACATTTATTAAGCGCCTACTCTGTGCCAGGCACTATGCTAAGTGGCAAAAAGAGGCAAAAGACAGTACCTGCCCTCCAGGAGCTCATAATCTAATTGGGGAAACAACAAATACATACAAACTATATACAGGATAAATAGGAATTAATTACAAGAGGGAAAGAACTGGAATTTGGAGGTGTTAGAGAAGACTTCCTGTAAAAAATAGGAGTTTAAGAAAATCTGCAAAGCCAAGATGTGAAGATGAGAAGAGAGAGCACTGCAGGCCTGGGGAAAAACCAGAGAAAATGCCTGAAGCTGACAGATAGAGTCTCTTGCTCATGGATCAGCAAGGGGGCCAGTGTCATTAGATCAAAGAGTATGTGGTAGATAAAAAGGTAAGAGAACTGGAAAGGTAGGAGGGGGATAGGTTATGAAGAGCTTTACATGTTAAATGGAATTCTGTATTTGATCCTGGAGGCAATAGAGAGCCACTGCGGTTTATGAACGGGGAGAGATGACATGGTTGGATACTTGAGTTAGGAAAATCACTTTGGTGGATGAATGGAGGATGGATTGGGGTGGGGAGAGACTTGAGGCAGGCACACTCACCAGTAAGTTATTACAATAATAGAAGAATGAGAGAATGGAGCCAAGATGGTGAAGAAAAGGCAGGGACTCACCTGAGCTCTCTCCCAAACCCTTCCAAATACTTTAAATAATGTCTCAAAACAAATTCTAGAGCAGCACAACCCACAAAAGGACAGAGTGAAATAATTTTTCAGCCTAAGACAACTTGGAAGATCAGCAAGGTAAGTCTGTTGCACCAGGGTGAGAGTAGAAGGCAGGCCAGTGCTGGCCACACCAGTGCAGACTGGGCCCCAGTAAACCAGGAGCAGGCCTTAGGAGCAACTGAATCAGTGGTGGCAGTGGTGGTTTTCTAGACTTCTCAGTCCACAGACAGTAAAGGGGTCAAACAACTGGTCAGAAAGAGATTACGGGTGGAGTAAAAGCAGTGACTTGCTTGAGCTCTTCCCTCCAAATACCTATAAAAAATGGCTCTAAACAAATTCTAGAGCAGCAGAACCCACAAAAAGACAGAGCGAAACAAATTTCCAGCCCAAGACAGCCTGGATGGTTGATCTGAAAGGTATATCTTGCCAGGCAGGGAGAGGAGCGCAGTTTGGCGTGGGCATG